TTACCATTTTTTAAAAATTTGTGATTTACTTCCGATTATTTAAATTCAGAAACATTCCTTTTCTTGAAGATATGCAGGACCACTTTACCATAGAAAGGTAGTTCAGTGTATATATACATACATAAAATATTCACAGCAGTAGAGAATTAGTGATAGAGTTTGTAGAAGCCTCACTTCTTCAGCTTTGGAAGAGAAAGACAATGGCTAACGCTAACACAAACAGCGGTACATTACTGGATTTTTCGGCTGTTTCGACCAATGTTACCATGGACTCGCCGGTTTAGGCAGAAGTACCCGTGTTGACATGACATGGGTGCAGGTACGGAGTGTGAGATATGTGTTGGATTCGGCATGGTTTTCTCAAGCACGACTGACATGAGAGGAGAAGAAGGGTTGTTGAGAGAGAGAGAGAGAGAGAGAGAGAGGGCTGAAAATCACCTTGGCGAAGCAAGTCGAGTCACGAAGCAAGATCGAAGTGCGAACCCTAGTCGCGAACTAGACCGAATCAAAGGAGATTCTGAAAACCAACATCTCAAAGTCGATTCCACCCTAGGGCTTCGATTCCCCTTTGGTCTCTCTCTCTCTCTCTGTCTCTCTCTCTATCTTCTTCTCCTCTCTCTCTCTTTTTCTTCTTTGACCGTCTTCTGTTCCCTTTCCGTTCTTTTTTCTCTGCTTTCTTATTTGTTATAAAATGGAATAAAGGTTAAGGTATTAATCAATAAATATAATAGTATTCATATTTTTAATATAATATTCCCTTCAAAAAAATATGTTATATTATAATTTTTATGTCTTAAAATTAAAAATAATTTATTTTATCATATATAATTATAATTTATTTTATGCCTAAAACAATTTTTATTTTATTATTTTATTTTATTTGTTATTTTTTAACAAAATTTGTTATTCTTTAACTTTTTTTAAATTCATCTCATATTAATAAATATATATTTAAAAAAAATAACAATTTAAGGTATCTCCGTATCCTATCCGTATCCAAATTTAGATCCATATCCACGTATCCCTCAATTTTTAATTTTGAAGTGTCATATCCAAATTTAGATCCATATCCACGTATCCCCAATTTTTAATTTTTGAAGTGTCTAACCGTTAGATACCACCCACACCTGACACCCGCACCTGAGTCCGTGTAACATAGGTTTCGACTCACTGTGGCCATTTTATTGAATGATTGCATACACCATATTGTGGGTTAATCTCTTCTAGTCATGGCAAAGTGCTGGCCACTGATTATGCCTAGTGGTTGTGGTGCTAATGGACTTGTGTGGTAATTGATCTTTCAATATCAATACATTCTGTGACAGAAATATGTGTGTAGAATATGAATGAGTTCAAATATTGACCGCAATTCTTTTTCCAGAACAATGTCTGATTGGGCTAGATCAATAACAGAAGGGGAGGAACGTCAATCTATTAGGGAAGATACACTTATAGAGGTATGATTAGGGACCTTAGGAACCAAGTGATGAGAGTAGAGTTCACGTCTTTGAAGATAGCACAGAACTGAGAAAAAGAAAAGAAAGATGTAATAGAAGAAATCACATCCTTATAAATGATAGGCAAAGCTTTCTTGAAGAACATGGAATTATAGCCATTGAGGCCAGGAGCTTTCCCATCTTTGAGAGAGAATGAGCTAAGTGTGTGAATGGCTAATTCATGTGCTACTATAAGCACATTGTTTTTTTTGTTGACAAATAATTTATAGTTTTCTAGCACTAATGATACTTTTTTGTCTTTTTTCTTCGGCACATCCATATTATTTATTATGGTTTCAAATGGATCATTTTTATTTTTTTTGGGGATAAATATGGACATTGTTTCATGTTAATGCAATGCCCTGCATTGCCTTCTTGATCTTATGCTTCAGATTCTTAACATGTATGCATTTTAATTACACAATGCAACTTCAAATTGTTTTTTGTCTTCCTTCTTTTCGTCGGTATGCTGAGTTTAGTTGAAGCTTCTAATATTTTTCTTTTAATTTCATTTTTGGCAGGATACACAGATTATCATTAATTCTATACCTCCTTGGATATGCATCCGAATCGCAAAATTGTAAATGATTACATCAACAGTTTTTTGAGATGTTAAGTGAACAGTCCCAGCCTCACAGGGCAATTATTTTTATTTTATCTATCCATAGTTGATCAAGCAAATAGGGATGTTTTATATTTCTACTAGTGTTGAAAGATTAGTATTTGAAGTTTTATTGCTCTTGACCGTGTGTCCCATATAGAAAGAAGAAAAGTAGATGACCACTGCATGTTGAACAATATCCTGAACTGATATTAGGAAACCAAAGGAAGAAAGTATTAAAAACAAAAATAAATAAGCTGAGTCATTATGTAATCAGAAGATAAAACTTTAGATCTGAGTAGCTTTAAGTGCAATTAGAAAGAGTTCATTATGAGTATGTTAATTTTCATTTTCATTCTTTCTTGCATGTTTGTATGTACGTATGTGTCTATATATATTGTGGTGAAGAACTATTGTATACTATAACTTCAACGCAGAACATTTACACAATTTCTCAAGTGTAACTTGTTTTAATAACATAATGTTTACTTGGTTCTTAAAAATCATTTGTTTGTATTACTCACTAATAAATATCTCTAGTTGGTGTTCCATTTATACCAACCAGGAATTCAAGTTTATTTGTGGTGTATGTATCTACTAATGTTATGCTACTGTCAGCTTTCCTTCCCATTCTTACTCTTATTGTTATAAGTTGAAGATAAAGCCTTCCCCATTTCTTTTTATTTGGAACAGATGGGCTTGGGGTCTTGTTATTAGCTTCCTACATCTCCAGGTTGTCAAAAGTATTTGCTAGACTTCACAGTTGTTTGAATCGCCTGGTATCACCTGTATGGTATAGATAGGTTGGTCTTGATCAAAACCTACCTTATGATAATGTTCCCCATTTAACTAATTGGCCACATCCTAGGTTGAGTTTTGATGTTGCTCCAATGGTTGCTCTTTATTCTTGGAATTAGGTCATCTTTGCCCACATTTTGGGCATTATGATCATCATTGGCTGTGGCCTCCCCTGTGGCTTCTGTACGTGCCTCAATTCTATTTTTGGTTTCTTTCTCCAGTCATTCCTGAGTACAGCATAAACCAAAGACTGGTTGAGCACCCATTGGTACACTTTGACCCCTTCAAAATTCTCATTCCTGTTGTCCAGGTGAAAGTTTTCCACCAGTTCGCTACCCACTTCAATCTCAACACAGATTTTGGCAAAAGTAATTCTCTTTTGTGATTCAGCTGGAATTTGCATAATGCTTGCAATGTGGCTTAACCCTTGCTCATTCCAATATTCGAAGGGGACGTTGTAGAATTTAGCTCAATGAGGAAATTTTATTAGACTTTCCTTCCACAAGTTAAGTCTGTAGTCCCACCACTTTAGGACCATTAGCTTCCCTCCAAAATGCTATGGCTTCCTTTCCAAAACTGAATCAAAAGAAGAAGAATTTCATTAGACATAACATGAATCAGTCCACTCTTCCCCCATAGTTTTTGGCAATAGAGTTAACAACAAAAAGATAACTTCTTATCAATAAAGTAACCACTCGTCCCCCATAGTTTTTCAGCAATAGAGTCAACAACAAAAGCATAACTTCTTATTAACAAAGTAACCCACTAGGCAACCAGTCCATCCATCTACCTAGACACATGGGGGTGGAGTAACCTTATTTTCCCCATACTCCATGGATGCAAAATATTCTAGATTTATCTTAACCACCCATCCTCTGACATGGTTTCAGACCTGAAAATGTTGAGATGGGTGCGTAAAAGTTGATACAACTTCAAATGATTAAATTTTGAAAGAGACAACACCAATTTGTATGCTAAATGTGAAAATTGTCTGAATTGTATAATGGGTTACCTATAGGGCCATAGTCTAAACAAACGACTGCACTATGTTGTACCATATGTTGAATAAAATCAAGACTAATAACTTGCAACTTTAGAGTAGGTTGAAGCAATAACTGAACACTAACACTGTGTTTGGATCATCGATTTAGGTTGGGATTTGGAAAGAAAAAAGAAAATGCGAGGGAAATGAACAAAAAATTTACTTATATTTTATTCACATTTCCCTCACATTTTTGTTCTCCTTTCCAAATTTTTATGTAAATTCATGATCCAAACACAACATAAGACGTTGCAAGTACTCGCATATTTGTTTTGATCACATAGAAAACAAAACAGCCATAAAAGTGTTTTCTGTAATCAACATTGGTGAACAAGTGATTGCTTTAGATGCTTCTATTGGAGTACTGATCGTATATTTTGGTTATTCATAGGTGTGGTTGAAGATTTCATGGAGGTAGTATGCACATGGAGGCCCAGTGCGCCGTTGGAAGTGTGTTACTATGAACAAAATGAATCTAATATTAGAATCTTTGTGCATTTGGTGGATATTGACAATTATGTTACTTGATTTAGTATATGTCTAGACTAATATTCTTAACTGATATCTAAACTAATATTTATAGAACAATGTCATCGTATGATTTGTTCTATTATTGAAATGAATGACATAACAACTAAAGCAGATTGCATGTCTAAGTTATATTTTACTTTAAACATGTAAAAGAACGTAAGTTGAAAGCACCCTAGACGTTGGAGATGCCGGATATGCATGTTGTTGAATTGGAAAGTGTGCGAGGTGTCTAGAAATTGTTTTCATGTGATGGAAGGCTGGTGTCAAACTGATTGACGTCTATTTATTGTGTCTATGACTTGTTTGGTGTTTTGTTTCTCACATGAATTTAAAGTGGGGTTTCTGCTTGAATGACATTAACAAAATCATTGATTCATTTGTGTATTTTGTTTGATATAGTGCATTGATTGAGAATCAGACCCTAGGCTGAGTTGGTGGTAGTGTAACTATTATGTGCATAGTGCTATCCTGTCTTCAATAGTCAATACCACCACCACGTAGGACTAGGCATAGGATTATTTGACCCATGAAATTGCCCAAAAAGAATATTTAAAAAATGTGGAAAAGAAACTCGAAAATAAATTTTTAAAGGAAAAATCCAATCTGCAAACAGAGCGCACATTCGCAAATCTTATACGCATAAATTGCAATATGAACTGCGGGTGATTGGGGTTTTAATTTTTCCCAAATTGTAAATATGCAGGCGGGTTTAAATAGCAAATTGAACCGTCGTGAACACTCCTACCACCAAGCAGTTTACTACACTTCCTGATCCCATCTTGCTTTGCCTTGAGGGCCCAAGTTTACCTTTTGATCCATCAAGATGTCCTCATGAAAAGGTTTTTAGTGTTTGGAGCACTTGGAGGCTCATGAGAGGAGTCCTATGACCCCAGGTCCTAGAGGGATTCTGGTGAATCTGTTGGAATGGTGGAAACCATTCGGTAGAATTTGCTTTGTGTTTACATGCCTCGCATATCATCACATTCCACAGCCAATGTCTTGGTGGCCCATCATACAAACTAGGTGATTTTGCGAACCATGTCACTTACTAGTTGTAACCCTCCCCAAGTTACGAAAATAACTTTGTTCACTTATTGTCTTAGTGTGTGAACAATACATAAAATATGAGTGGCCCAAATATGTGGATTTCATACTCAAAATATGTAATGACGTCACCTAAAATGGTAGGCCTAATTATTCTATATCAATTAAAATGTGTGAACATAATGGGAATTACAAGTCACCATCTCTTCAGTTAGATACTTGGATAAATTTTGTTCGATCTCATACTCCACTTGATGGTTGTTTCTATGTCAAATGATGTACAATCATTGGGTAAAACTAATTGAGACTCAGGCATATAGTATACTTTCCATTGTATGGGTAGAAAATGAAGAGGAATCATAATTGAGACTCAAGCATACAGTATACTGGGTAGAAAATGATGAGGAATCATCTTTGTTGATAGTGCCCCAAAATGTTGCAGCTCCTTCTGCAATATGGTTTTCTGCTCTTTGCTTGGCTTAGTAAACTCTTTGCCGATCCGTGGAATAGAGTGCTAGTACACAACATGCATATGCCAACTAATCATTTCTTTGAAATTCAGTATTGGGTTAATTGACGGACGATGGGAAATAGTGGGATTATGAGAATGGAATCTATCTTTGAAAATATGGAATGGGAACATAGCGGTTATAAAATGGATCTTTCTAACCTTATCAGAGAGGGGGCCCTAGGAGCGGGGCTTATATATAAAATAGGAGCGCAAAAGCGGGCCTGCACATAGTAGTGGGGAAGGTCATTTTAGTTGCAGAAAAGTTAGACAAGAGCTTCTAAACCATATACTTCTTGTGGGTTGCTACTCACTACATTGAATTGATACTCTTGTGTTTGACAATGATTGTTCCTTAATTAATTGTATTAGCTTGCACAAAATAATTAATAGGTGAATCTGAAATTGATTCTAAAAAACATCATTTGAACATGATTGCAAGACAAGATTTATTTAAAGTAAAAATAAATTTGTTATTGTTTTGTTTACTTGGGTCAAAACCAAATTGGATGCAATCCAGATTTGAACACGTTTTGAGAAAAATAATGTCTGTTACTGTTCTATTGTAGCTTTTCCATGGAAGAAGTCTCTTGCATTTAAACAGTCACAATGGCCATTCGAAGAACCATGGATTCGTCTATAAATACAAACCTCCATTTCATTCATTTGGCATCAAAATCATCTCGGCTTCTCTTTTTTGCACGAAGTTCTTCTCTCAAAGAGAATACCGCACTACATTGGTTTGCCAAACTCGCAAATTGAAATGTTGCTTCTGCGAGATTCTTGATTGTTGTATCATGGGTGATAGATGTCTATTCAAACTCGTGAGGATTGCAGTGAGAGGGAAATTTCGTCTTAAGCATATTGTATCAAACACAAAACTCGATCACCATCTGTTAGATTTTGAATTTCCATAATATTAATTTTTACTATTCACGGTTTTTGTGAGTATTTTTCTAATCATGTTGTTATATTTGATTTATGATATACACTAACACATTGATACACATAAAATTATCAAACAATTTCTTAGCAATAATGTGATTATAGAAACCAAGCAATATTTCAGACATGCTCTTGTTTGGGTCTGAGGCCAAGCTTGCTCTTGTTTTGCTTTGTTTTTTTTTGGTTTTATTTGTTTTTTGGAGTTCTTTGGTGCTTAATTGTAGCCTGTACACTCTGTTGTTGTTATCTATGATTTTTTTCAGACATGCTCTAATGTCGATTTGATCGGTTTTGCTTCGCGGTATGAGCACAACCACTGATGTGCGTCTGGATAATTTTCATAGTTTTGCACCTTTGCTCTTATTGTAATATTATTACTTTATTTAGTGTTTTCTCTTGGTGGTTGGACTCTGTAAGTGCCATTTGGCTATTCCTCAATGGAAATTTCTTCAGATAAAAAAACAAAAAAAAAAAACCAAACAATATATTAATATTTCCACTGTCAGTTTTAGATATCACTTGTATTGATTTTATTTCTTTCATTTTTTAATTTCTGAGTTTTGAGTTAACTAGAGTAGGAATGATCTAGTTTCTTTTTATTTTATTTTTAAATTTTGATTCTTTGCTACAATTGAGTTGTGTCATGGTTTTCTAGAATATTTCTTTCAAGGTAAGACTTCTCTTCAGTTCAATTTGAACTGGAAAGAATTGTCCTAACTTGCCGAGCTTATTGTTAGAAAAATGTTATGCACTAATATAATATGATTAATAAAATGATTAAGAGATTTATGATAAATAAAATATGAAAATAAGTAAATTCATATAGAGTAAGAAAGAGTTGGCCTATGAGATTGAGAGGCGTATAGTCACTATCCTAAACCCGTTGTTCCTCCTCACGTGAAGGTACAACCGAAGTGCAACGGCTCTAAGATACAACCCAAGCACTCACAGCCTTCCTCATCTGATGTTCACGTCTACTAAGAGGATATGAACGAGTCACGAACCATAATTGTCCAAAAATATAAAAGATAGATCAAGTTATACTCTTTAACAAAATCTCAATATATATTATACTCATATATATCCTTGTGGGTCTCTTATGTACCCTTAATCTTTAGAAAACATAAGAATATATGTAAGTGAAAATCTTATAAGAATTAAAATTTACATTTAATCATTACATAATTATAATAATAAAACTTAATAATAACTTTTTAACCGAAATATTTAAAAACCAAAATTAATATTAATAACAGTCAAATAAATTAAATAGAAATAATTAATTTTATTTTTATTAAAATTCCAACTTCCCCAACTTTTGATATAAAAAAAATAATAAAAGTTTTAATAATACCATAAAGTTTATATAACAGCCCCACAATTTTAAAACTTTATATTCAAAATAAAATAAATATATATATATATATATATATATATATATAAGGTGTCACGACCCAGACCCGCCCCTATGGGTTTAGCATCGTAACCGGCCAGTAATCCGTAATTACCAAAGGCCTGCTTAACAGTAATGACAGTAATACAGAGTAAAGGGGCTGGCAGAAGCCAAAACAGTAAATAAAAGGTGTCCAATGAACTGTGACGGTCTGAATGCATAAAGACTTTTATGAACAAGTCACATCCGTAACCAAAACACATTTACATACCAGATATACATACATACAAGTTAGGGATTCAATCCCTACGCCATAACTATACAGTAGGAGTCTGTAACATCTATTACAAAACAGAAACAGGAGGGTGAATCCGAACACCCCAAAACAGCCGTAGCTTGAACGGACTTGGAACCTTGAGGCGAGGCACAAAGGTTGGCTTGACAAAATAAGAGCTAACCCGACGCTCCTATCTCCGGTCCGTATATATATATATATATATAAATACTGAGCTAAAGCCCAGTGAATAACAGTTATATAAAGAGGTTAAGAATGAATGTCCTTTCAATAATTAAACAGTCATATCAGTCACTTAGAAACCATAACAGTTATATGTGGTGCATCCCATAGCAAAACAGTACAGTAGGTCTTAACAGACCGAACAGTCAGTTGATGGCCATCATAACAGTAACAGTAGTGGTTCCAAACATGGGAACCGACAAAGATCTCTGTGTCAGTAGCAGTAACAATACGGTAACAGTAAATTGCTATGGATGCTACGAATACAGTTTACAAATAGGACAACATTCATTCATTAAACAATAGCGTTTCAGTAAGCAGAACAGTTGATCATTCAGAAAATAATCATAATTGAACATATCTTTACAACATTGTTACTCACAGAGCACTGGGCTATAAGCAGCTAGTGGGCGTCCTCAGGTGCCAACCCTACACAGTCACGAACGAACACACACTAAGTTACACACTCGGGAATCAACAACTTAGTCCCTATCTTGACTCGGTGTGGTTCTACATCAATATCCTCATTAAGATGCCTTAAACATGGCCTAGGAATGCCTAGGATGGAAAGAGGATGCAAGGATGCACTTTAAAACACTTTTCAAAATTTGCTGAAACCGGGGTTCACGCTCGAGCGTGGCTTCTACGCTCGAGCGGACATGCAAACAAAGGAGCTCCACTCGAGCGTGACTTCCTACACTCGAGCGGACTGCAAACTTCATGAAAAGGAC